TATATATATATATATATATATATATATGAATGAGATTTGAATTTGCTCACATAAAAATATATGTCCTCAATGATATCTCAAATAATGATTTTTAGAGTAATCAAATATAGACAAAATTATATCAAATATCTTGTTAATAATTTTTATTTTTCTATGATATTGTATTGTTTATATTTTCCTTTTTTCCTTTAAAATGTCATTTTTTTTATCGGATATTCATGAACTGTTTTCTTAATTTTAACCATACATCTAATTTCTATTGTTCTTTTTTCATTTCATTTTATTTCAACCTTTTTTTTTCCTTTTACGTCACTTTTATAATTCTTTTTCTTTTTATATCTCTTTCCACCAAAAGCTTAAAACTTTCTCATTTAGTATGGTTAATTTTTTAATGTAAAAATAAATTGATGGTCATATACGTTCACGCACTACATGCAATTGTTGATAAATAATCCAATCAAGTTGGCCGAATCATCTATCGACCGAATAATAAATTGACATTTGTTATTGAGTTTACCGTACAGCTTTCATTAGAGCATCTCCAATAAGACTGAACCACATCACTGCCACATCAGCTCTGGTCCACTTTATGGGTTGTTTAAATTTTATCAGAAATGTTTCTACAAGCAACTCTGCTAAAATTTAAGTAATCCATAAAGTGGGACAGAGCTGATGTGGCAGTGATGTCAGGGAGTTGCTTATAAGCAACTCTCATTGGAGATGCTCTTGTGTGCGTGTTTCGCTATTTTTTTTTTTTTTGCTTATCCTTTCAAAGGATTTAGTATTTTCCACTAAATGAATTTATTGTTGAGTTGTGCTTTATTTTTCCATTGTTTTGATGGGTTTGATTTGACAATTGATTAATCACGTTTGGAAAATTTTTAGCGTGTGTTTGTTTCGAATTTTGGACGTGAAAATTCACGTTTACAGGAAGTAAAAAATTCAAGCTTCCACGTAAATTTGATTGTAAACGTGGAGAGATATGAATCAAAACCAAACACGCACTTAGTCCTGTTACAACACTTTGTATTTTAAATGTTGTAAATTAGTTATATAATTGATTATATGATTTTAAATGTTATAAATTTAGTATATAATTGATTATATGATTAATTGATGATTAGAGCATCTACAATGGGAGACCACTTTAAATAGGTCTCACTGTGCCACGTCACTCATAAGCAACCCATACTATATTTTTACAATTTTTACTCCAATGCAAATTGCTTATAAGCATCCCAACGTCTCTTTTTATTTTTATTTTTTTTTATTTCGTTCAAGTCTCACCTTCCCTTTAACGTCTCTTTTTCTTCTCTCTTATTCTCACCCTTCACTCTCTCTCTCTCTCAAAGTTTCACCATGAAAGACCCACCCTAGTGAGACGTGTGGACGGTTGAGGAGTCCCGGGCAGAGGTCTGGTTGGGCGGAGCTGTGGACGGAGCTAAGGCTGTCTGGTCGGGCGGAGCGGCGCGCACCAGAGGAGGTTTGATTGAACGGAGCGGCCGGCGCCAGAGGAGATCTGGTCGGACAATTTTCGCGCGACGAAGGACCCCGGAGATGCGCGTGCTGCGAACGATTTTCGCCACCACCGCCATCCGCATGGCCGGCTTCGAATCAAATCAACAGCCAATCAAATCAACGATTTGCAAAAACACTGTCACTGTCATGTTCCACCTAGGATGAAGAACAACCAATCAAATCTTTTCATTTTAATTTTCAGAGTGTAAGCACTGTTGCTTCTCCAAGCAACGGTGCTAAAAAATTTTGAACTTGTTTTGCCACCTAGGATCACTCTAGTGGGAATTTCTTATAAGCAACATTGCTTATTTTTAAGATACACCCTAAGCACCCCCCCACTGGAGGTGCTCTTATTGTTAATTATGTTACTTTAGAATTATAAAGTTAAGGGTTTTGAGAGTTAGATTATTTATGAAGTAGTTGAATCAAAATTAAATTAGTTTAATTTAGATGAAAGTATATAATTTTTTTTTAAATATGAACTTCATAAATTCATGTTTTAATAAATCTTAGAGAAAAGTTTTATGAGAATCTAAATTTTATTTTTTCATTGTTTTTTATATATTAAAATCTTCCTTTTTCTTTTTTCCTGTAGTTGAATCCACTTGACTTGAGTTGGAAGATCCAAGTTCGTGGAGTTGAAAATTTAAGTCAAGATTGTGTGTATGATTTTTTTTTCCTCTTTTCTTCTCCTCTTCTTAGTTGAAATCTATGAGAGGAAAGGGAGACCTTGTGGTGTTTGTTGGATTGCATGTTAATTTTGCTATTGGATTCCATCTAAATGCTCATTTCTTTGATTGGAAAAGATGAGTTGGTGAATGATTGGACTTTTTGGTTGTTCTTGAAGTTGTTCACAAGTGAATGTGATAATTTTGGATCCTTGGTGAATGCATGTTGTATTTTGAGTTGGTTTGGTGTTGTTTATGGTGTATACATGTTGTATATTGTGTAGCATGTTGTTTTGGATGGTTGAATTTCAAGTTTTGAGCCATTTGATGGTTCTGCTATATGCAAAAATGAGCATTGCGTCAGGCTCACCTTCATTGCGTCGGGCTCACCTTCATTGTGCTAGACGTGGGATGAGTAGTGTTGGATGTGAGAAATAGAGAATTCTTTGACTTTGTGACATTGAGTTCCAAAGGTGTGGTGCTCAGCGTGATTAAGCCACTGGATCACTACTTAATTGATACTCAGTGTAGGTGGAGTGACAGCGGTGAGTTAGGTAGAAACTTTTTACCTAATCGAGGTTGGGCGTGGGTTTTGTCACGCTAAGCGTGAGAGACTCAAAGGTCCTATACTTCACCCACACAGGGCTTAGGAGGATTAATGTTAGAAACAGGACAAAAAAAATTGTCTCAATAATGTTGAGCATGCTTGGAATGGCATCGAATTTGATATGTTGAAATGGAAGATGATGTTATAAGTTGTTTACATGTTGAAGTATGATAAATTATTTTATTTGAATTATGATATATGATGTTTAAAGTTGTTTATAATGAGAAATGGTGAAGTTGATTAAGTTGTAAGATGTATGATGTTTTAAGTTGGATGTTGATGGATGATAAAGTTATAAAGTTGTATTGATGAAGTTGATTAAGTTGTTAGGCATGTGGTATGGATATATGTCTTTGCTATTGTCATCGTCCCAGTAGAAAAATCGTCTCCTATTTGATCTTATTGTTATTTTAAAGAAGTTATCCTTGAAATTCTTGTACAAAGAAGTGTAACCTTCCAATAGGCACCGGTCGAAGACCCGAGTCAAACATCCATTTAACTGGGTCACCCAATCAAGTATAATAAAAATGCAAAAATATAGATCGACTCAACTACATGTTAAAACCTTGGCAAAAGGTGATTAAATGCATGCATTTGAGCTTAGTTGTTTGGATGCAATTACATTGGTACCACATTCAACACTTGCAAAACCCCTAACTATAAAGTCATCAAACGGTAGCCAAACACATAAATCTCGAAACAAACAATCATACGCAAAAAATGAATTCATATTGGCCACATGTTTGCCCAAAACTACATAATCAGGGTTCAACCACCCGTCATTATGACAGGATTGAATGCCTATCGAGAATGAATCTTCTTCAACATCAAAGTTTAAGCATTTGGTATACTCAAGTAGGTTCACCATTGAGTCAATATCACTATACCGAGAAAAGTATGATGCAACATCTCCATGCACCCATTAAAATCTCGACACAATAGCACGTCCATATTGCTTTCATGTCGAAGTAGCCTACCTCTACACTGGTTGAGGTGTTGAACCACTCGTCGATGACTCCTCCTGCATATCGCTTCCTTCTCTCAAACGGATCGATAAATCATCTTCAATAATTACCACACTCGATTCCGTTTCAGCCTCTCGAATGTCGTGAGTGGTAGATCTACTAGAAGACGATGACAAAGATGATAACGATAGATAGTTGGAAAGGTTCCCTAATATGGACAATCTTATAAAGGACTCTTCGACTGAAGATTAACTAAACACTTTAGCCATTACTAAAAATAAACACACACCAATACAAAGCAACAATACACTCGGACGATGAGTCAACACACGAATTAGCTCATTTGGACTCAAAGGGAGTGAGCGTAACAACAAAGTGGACTCCACCACCCACCCTTATTTATACTACTGAGCTAATGGAAGATGGAACACAACAATGATTAATAACCGTTAGATATGAAATGATCCAATAGTCCATTATATGCAATTTTTCAGATGCAACTACCTTGGGAAGTGCAACTGACGTAGTGGTTACCAAATAATATTCCAATTGCACCCCAATGTATAAAGCTTTATCTTTGTTCGAAGCTAACTCCTCCAAGGCTAAGGGCATGTATACTAGATAGGTCATTTGCCCGTCAACAATCGACGATACTCGCTCTCTAGAACATCCGTTCGACACCTCATACCCCTTTAGCATCCTCGGTCGTTCATGCCTTTGTGTTGTCGAACATGTTAGACGACTTTCCATTTTGCAAAATAATTAAGGTGATTTAGGTCTAATCACAATATAGAGCATGATTATCAACATATGACCTAATTGATAATCTCATGTTGAAGCCCACAGGAATATGGGTCCATCGTGGTTAGTATAAATAATATTGCATATCATTATCAAGGTAAAATTATTGTTCACAATTTACTCACATTTAATATATCAAATGAATTACTTACTTAAGCTTCAAATTGTCTTTTATAGGTACATTTTCCTCGATACGTAAGATAATCGACTGAAAGAGTAAAAAAGAGTGAAAATATAAGAAATAGAAAAGACGAAATATCTTGATATACGTATATTATTTTTTTCATATCACTCAGTATTCTTAGAATATGAGTTATTTTGTTAATAATATTTGTTATACTATAAATTAAACAAGTCAACATTTTATTTTTAATAATTAAAATATTTAAACCATATTATCTTAAAGCATTTATTATAAAAAAATATTTTTAACTAAAATATTTATAAAAAACATAAATAATGTTATGAACTCTATCTTATTACTTCTAAAAAAAAAATATCAAACAAGATATGAACTCTATCCAAATTATTTATAAGAATAAAAAAAAGTGTGGTCATTGTGGAATTTACTAACTAAATAAATCTTTATTCTCACTTAATAAAAAGAGGTGTCTGCTTGAAAAATTGATTTAAATGATGGCCTAAGCCCATAAGAACTAAGAAGAGAGAAATGGTGGGAGTGTTGGATCGAGCGCTTACCATTAGGCCAAAAGCTATAATTAATAGTCAGGGCGCAATTCTTTTTACTTAAGAGCGCAGCAGCCCAAGCGCCATGATTCGACGGTGACTTGGCCCACCTAGCCTCCGCCACGGGACAATTGATGCAACCCGCATCAGTGAGTGAGAACGAAAAGCACGTGAGTTTCCTAAACAATCGAACCCTCTTCTGTAATTACTTAAACTTTTCACTCCTGAATTCAGAAACATTACATAAATACGCCGCTGAAGGAATTGGAATTGAATTCCGATGGAACTCTCGCGCTGAAACCCTAGAGAGAGAACAATGTCCGACGCGTTCTGCAGCGATTGCAAGAGGCACACGGAGGTCGTCTTCGACCACTCCGCCGGGGACACCGTCTGCTCCGAATGCGGCCTCGTCTTGGAATCTCACTCCATCGACGAAACCTCCGAGTGGCGAACCTTCGCCAACGAGTCCGGCGACAACGACCCCGTGCGTGTCGGCGGTCCCTCCAATCCGCTCCTCACCGACGGCGGCCTCTCCACCGTCATCGCCAAGCCCAACGGCGCCTCCGCCGAGTTCCTCTCCTCCTCCCTCGGCCGCTGGCAGAACCGCGGCGCCAACCCCGATCGCGGCCTCATCCTCGCCTTCAAAACCATCGCCACCATGTCCGATAGGTACGTCTCTGTTCACACTCACACTACTACATGGACTACTTGTTAATTCATCAATCTGTTTTATTCGGTTATTCCTATCACTATTATTTTTTACATGCTAGCTTCTCGCATTATACTGTGGGCTAAAATATACATTAGTCTCTTAGATTCTATAATTGGTATTTCTGTTAATTTTCTACTGACTATTGGTGTACTAGTGTGAGAGAGTTCCATATTAGATAAAAAAATAAAAATAAAAATTTATGTTGAGTAGCATATAAGTGAGAAGGACCTATAAACTTGATGCCTTAAATCTTTTGAGTGTGGTGTCGAATTTGCTTTTGTGGTTTACGGGTGGCCCACTGGTGTAGTTCTCTCTGATGTTTAACCTCTCTCTCGGATTCCTAAAACTAACAGTGTTAATTCTCACTAGTGTATGCTTGGATTGGTGGTGAGTTGAATTTTGAAAGCAACAACTAATTGCTTTTGTCGTGAACTTGCTATGATTTTATTCATTTGTTGCTTTCGAAGATTATGGTGAGTTCAACTCACTGCCAATGCAAACACACACTTAGTGTGGTAGGTTGATGAAAGAACCAACTTGTTCTATAAGAGAGATGGATGTTAAAGTGAAGTTTTCTAAACTGGGATCCGACTAAAACCATAAAATAAGATGGGGGATTAAAAGTATGTTTTAGTCTTGTACTGTGTTGTCTTTCTTGTGGTTAGATTTGTTCAATTTAGCATTGTAACTGTGAGAATTTTGTATCTAAAGTGTTAGAATTTGGGCATATCCACTTCTTTTTTTGGTGTGAAATGAGATTGGTTGTTGAATTAGCTGATGTGGCTGGTGGAATTTCAGGTTGGGACTTGTTGCAACCATCAAGGTATGGCATCTGGAATAGCTTTTAATCCTGTCTTATGTCGATTGCTCCTTGAAGAAGTTACTGTAGTTTATCTTTTGCGTGTTTGACTTTGAGTTTCGTGTGAAGTGTTAGTATTTATACTCCTGTTATGTTGATTTTGCAATTGGTTTGAAGGATCGAGCGAATGAGATATATAAAAGGGTTGAAGATCAGAAGTCTAGTAGAGGAAGAAATCAGGATGCATTATTGGCTGCTTGCCTCTACATTGCTTGCCGACAAGAAGACAAACCTCGCACTGTGAAGGGTACAGCTTGCGATTCTTTTAACATTTAGATGCTTCCTGATTTGTCATTGCCTATATAAATGAGTTTCACTGAATCTATGGATTTCAAATAGAAATTTGCTCTGTTGCCAATGGAGCCACAAAGAAGGAAATTGGCCGAGCAAAAGAATACATAGTTAAACAACTGGGTTTGGAGAAGGGACAATCTGTAGAGATGGGAACAATACATGCTGGGGACTTTATGGTGAGTTTTCTCTTAATTGATATTACTGTTTGCTAATTTAAATCAATGCATTATCTGACTAATCAATCTTATATTTGTGTTACTGACATTATTTTCTCCTCAATCATTAGAGACGTTTTTGTTCTAATCTTGGTATGAATAATCAAGCTGTTAAAGCTGCTCAGGAAGCTGTTCAGAAATCAGAAGAATTTGATATAAGGTATACTATAGTTTGTCTTGTATTTCTTTAGAGTGAAATAGATGTGCAGTTATAAAGGTTGGCATGCCATATTGTTTACTTTTTCATACTAATGCATTATACCCTTCTACAGTTACTGTTGATTGTGAATTCAATAAAACCTAGCATTGCTTCTAAGAGGAATTCCAGGTGGCAAAAATTTAAAGGCAGTGTTTCTGTGATAAAATGAACCAACCGCATCAACTTAAGATTAGGGGTTTATGATTGTGTTCAAGGTTGTGCAAATTAGCCTTTTCAATCTAATGCCATCTCCCTTTGAGTTTCTTGAGATGTGTGTTGCACACTTGCACCCATGGGAGAAGTGAAACAATGGGCAGTGCCAGGCATGTTTGTGAGATGGGGAAACGGTAAGGAGTGTGTAGCATGTTTGAGTAAAGTAGAAACACAGAGGAGTGTTTGTGTGTGATAAGTGAAGACTGGGTACTGGGATATGGTTAATGGTTGTATGGAATAGCTTTGAATTTGAACTCTCTTTCCTTCAACTAGGCAAAGTGAGTTGTGGGTTTCTAACTTATGTTATATATATATGCACGTTTTATTGTTTATTGTGTGACACATAATTGCGTGACTCATAAAATTCCCAATAATGACTTTTGAAGGACATAAATAACTGTCCTATGCGTAAATCCATTCTCATGTTTGTAGGTTTCCTCATAGTCTATTAAATTTCACCTTAATTTAGCATGAATACATTCCTTCCTTATTATAGATACTAATAAGTAATAACATCTTTGGTCTGCCAGGAGGAGTCCCATATCAATTGCTGCAGCAGTTATATACATCATAACTCAGCTTTCGGATGATAAAAAGCCTCTCAAAGGTTTGTACGACTTCTCAGTGGGAAACATGAAGACACTAGGCAATGAAAAATACAACGACATTAATTGGTTTAATTGTTGTCAAAATTGTCTATATCTGATTTCTTAGTTTTTGATGTAGCAAATTTTGCATTTGGAATTAAATTTGATTGCAAACAAGTTTCTTAAGAATATTCATATGTGTGAAGGTCTTCATTATTGTAGGAGTTAGTTGTTGTGCTATTGCATATTCGTGTTTGACCTATACTGTGTTGGTGCAGATATATCAGTTGCCACTGGAGTTGCAGAAGGAACCATTAGAAACTCATACAAGGATCTATATCCCCATGTTTCAAAAATCATACCAAACTGGTACGCAAAGGAAGAGGATTTGAAGAACCTATGCAGCCCTTAAAGCAAAACAATAGTGACCACATTTAACAACTTAGAGCCATTGGGACGTTCTGTTCTGAATGTACTGAACCGTTTTATACTTTTAATGAAATGAAATTTGATAATGCCTCTGCTATTTATTTAATTTTTATTTGTTTGGCATTTTCCTTGTAGTTAACTGCACATTCATTTTGGTTTACTCCAATTTGAGAATTCTAGGGGAGAGGCACCGTTCATATATATAATTTGCTCAACCCTTTATGGAAGTAAGTTTATTCTGCACTTGTGTTGAAATTTCTGGGTCATACATAGAGTTTATAACTATTTGTAACTTTGTAGTGTACACAAGATACCTATTGAATCCGAAATTGGTTGACGACTGATTAAAAGCTTTGAACTAAATGTTTGTCTACGTTTATTCTAAGTTTGTGCACAAATTGCAAAATGTGTCTCCCTAAGGTCTCCTAAAATTATAGACGATTGTTTAGCAATTATCAGCCCCTTCTTGAAGCTTCAATGCAGTCGAGGGTGAGCTGCACCAAGTGTAGTGTGTAGTAGCGTTGTTGGATCAGGAGTATTTAGTTTATTTATCAATGACTGGATGAAATCATTCTTCTGAGTTGCAAAAGATTTTGTTTTGCATTAATTATGCGGGTCTATGAAAAATTGAATTCTATTTATTTTTGGCTAGGAATTTTCTCATGTTTAAGAATTAAAGACATTTCCATGGGTGAAGAATTCGTATCAGTTATTTCCTATCTTTTGACATGCCTTTTATACACTTAACTGCATTACTACAGATTTAGAGTGGAAGATATTCTCCGCAGCATGTTCTGTCGTTTTATCGGTATTTTGACCAACGTTTTTAAAAAGTACTTTTAAACATTTTACTTTCTCTTTTACATCATTTTCAACTTTTTTCCTTTTTATTAATTTTTTCATCTCCCCCTTTCTTTATTATGGTATCATTTATCACATCTTTTATTTTTTTTCTGCCTTTTTTCTCTCTTCCTTTCATCCCAATCCTCCTAAAATGGAGTTAACATTTATATTTTCCTTCTAAAATTAAAGGTAACATTTGTATTTTTCCTTTTAAATCTGAAGTTTAAGAATTTAGTTTGGATTTCCTCTGTTAGGAGAATTATAGGGTATTAGTGAGTTTAATCATCATACACTATCATCCAATTAGATTCTATAATTATGTTATGGTCTCATTCTATTTACACCAAAGTGTATAAAGTTAATAATAATTTAGAACTGGGCCTTAATGTATTACAAAGTCCTCTCGCTTCTTAGACCCTTAGTTCGAATTATGCTGAACATAGTGGGCTCACTGTTGAAACAATGTAAAAAAAATGCTTGTTTAAGTAAGGAACTTTTTGAAACATGCATTAACATTTTCATATTGTCCAAACTCATTCATTCATGTTAATGTCACTAGATAGGTGTCTTTGGATTGGATTAATTTTTACAGATTATTTTAATAATTAATTATAGATATTATTATTATTATTATTATTAGGTAAAATAAGTTTCATGTCTAGATATGTTAGGTGAAAGATGATTTTAAGATAACTTATTTCACTTGGTCTAAAGTAATCAATTTTTATAATAAAATTAAAAAATGGATAAAATTATTTATATTAATTAGATTTATATTTAAATTAATCAATTTATATTAAAAATGAAATGAGAAAAATAAATGAAATAAAAATAATTTGACATGTTTTAACTTTCCATAACAATAATAAAATATGTCTTTGGGCCATTTTTGGTAGTCCTGATATTGAATTTGACTTTTCTGTAGGCCATAACAATAATTGGTCCATTTTGTGGTTTAGAGATTTTGAATGGATGTCCGCAATAAACCGAAAATTATAGTATGGTCATGTCTTGAAATTATAAAACTTTTCTAGTGCACTTAAACCTTTTCTTTATTTTATTATTTTATTTTTTATCATTCATGTCCTTATCTATTCTTTAAATGTGCTATGTTTATGCTATTCATATTTCCTTCCCTTATCCGTTGATCATATCTTTTTTTGGTAATGCGATCCGTTGCTCATATGTCCATTCATGAATAAATTTATTATTACATATTAAAAAAAAAAAAAAAAACTTCGTTTGTGAGTGTAACTAGTCAACTAGATGTCACGCATTTTTTCGCCTAAATTCTATCGTTATTTTTTAATTCATAAATATATTATTATATTTAATTATAGTAACAAATATATATTTTGATAAAATTGTTAATTAAATAATTAAATCTTAAAATGAAATTTGATTTTATATAATTTGAAAATAAACTTAATTAATTTTAGGAAATACTTTTCTGTTGTAGTATTTTTTTTTGTAGTAATTTTTTTTGTTTATTATTGTGTTTATATAATAATTTTATCATAAATATGTATCATAATGATAATAATAAAAATAATTGTAGTTTTGCGATCTTAAATTAAAGGTAATAAACGATAATTGAATTCATGGTAATGCTTTATAGTTATTATTCTTATTTTATAATGATTTACAATAAATATACGGCAGCACCTAATTAGTTTTTTTTTTAAATGTTGCTGAAATTTTTATTTTATTTTTTAAATAAAAAATATATTAAAACCACTGCACTTACACTACTCAATAGCAATTTATATTTACTCACGTTAGTCTTGTTTAAAAAATGACACTTACTATATATCCTTACACTCATACATACAAAAGGAGATGATCAATTGACTCCATATGTTAAACTTTTACACTTATATCACTTAATAATTTTGTGTAGAATATAGATTTTAATTTTAAATGTATAACTAATTTTAAATAATTTAGACATTTCTTGGCATGATATCTAGAAATTAACATGTATTTTTATTTTAAATAATATATTATGTGCTAAAATAAAATAATGCATGAAGAACTGATTAGTTTTATTAAATAATTTATTAACATGATATATATGATATATATATATATATATATATATATATATATATATATATATATATATATTAAAAATGA